CCCCTTCCCAAAGTGCTGGGATTACAGGTGTGAGCCATCGTGCCTGGCCCTGGAGCTATGTTTTTAGTTCTCTTTTGTATATGCCTGCAGCTGATTGCTCCATCATTAGGGGTAACTATTGTTTAACTCGTATGGTGTGTGTGTTGTGTTGTGTATGGTGGTGTGTATGTGTATGTGTAGTGTGTGAGAGAGAGGTAAGAGACAGACAGACAGGATCTTGCTCTGTCAGTCAGGCTGAAGTGCAGTGACGCAATCATGGCTCACCGTGGTCTCAAGTTTCTGGACTCAAGTTATCCTCCCTTGTAACTAGGACTACAGGCAAGCGCCACCACACGTAGCTAATTTAATTTTTTTTTGTAGAACAGCGTCTCTCTACATTTCCCAAGCTAGTCTCCAACTTCTGGATTGCAGGCGTGAGCCACTGAGCCAGCCAACTTTTTCTTCCTTTCTTTCTTTTTTTTTTTTTTTTTTTTAGGACAGGGTCTTACTCTGTCACCAAGGGAGTACAGTGGTACAATCATGGCTTTCTGCAGCCTCAACCTCCCAGACTCAAGTGGTCCTCCCACCTACCAAGTAGCTGGGACTACAAGTGTGTGCCATCATTCCCAGCTAATTATTTTATTTTTTTTTAGAGACAGGGTCCCATGATGTTGCCCAGGCTGGAATGTTTAACTTTTCGATGAACTGCCAAAATGATTTCCAACACAGCTGTACCATTTTATATTACTAGCAGCAGTGTATAAGAGTTCAAATCTCCACGTCTTCACCAACATTTGTTATTGCATGTCTTTTTAAATTAGATTGGTGATTTTTTAAATAACATTTTAGACTAATAGTACAGTCATGTGCCATGTGTAATGATGGGGATACTTTCTGACAAATGCATCTTTAGGCGATTTCATGATTGTGCAAACATTACATTGTATACTTATGCAAACTTAGATGGTCTAGCCTACTACACGTCTAGGCTATATAATATAGCCTGTTGCTCCTAGGCTACAAACTTGTACGGCATGTTACTGTGCTGAATACTGTGGGCAGTTGTAGCATGTGGTATTCGTATATCTAAATATAGAAAATACTGTAAAAATACGGTATAAAGTATAAAATAATGGTACACTCATATAGGGCACTTACCATGATTGGAGCTTGCAGGACTAGGAGTTACTCTGGGTGAGTTGGTGAGTGAATGTGAAGGCCTAGATTATTACTGTACACTACTATAGGCTATAAACACTACACTTTGGCTACATTAAATTTATCTTAAAAACTCTTATTAAATTAACCTTAGCTTATTGTAACCTTTTTACATCATGAACTTTTTAAGCTTTTTTCTGTTTAAATTTTTTAAACTTTTTTCTTAACTAAGATACAAACACATACAGTAGGCTAGGCCTACACAGAGCCGAGATCATCCCCATCACTGTCTTCAGCCTCCACACCTTGTCCCACCAGAAGATCCTCAGCGGCAGTAATGTGCATGGAGATGTCATCTCCTAGGGTAGCAATACCTCCTTCTGGATACCTGCAAAAGGCCCTGCTTGAGGCTGTTTTACAGTTAACTACTTCTTGTTTTGTTTTGTTTTATAAGTAGAAGGGGCTGGTGTGGTGGCTCATGACTGTAATCTCAGCACTTTGAAGACTGAGGCAGGAAGATGACTCGAACCCGGGAGTTCAAGACCAGCCTGGGCAACTTAGTAAGACCCTGTCTCAAACAAAAATTTGAAAATTAACCTGGCCTTGTGGCGCACACCTGTAGTCTCAGCGACTTGGGAGGCTGAGGGAAGATCACTTGAGTCCAGGAGGTCAAGGCTGCAGTAAGTCTTGTTCACACCACTGCACTCCAGCCTGGACAAGAGAGTGAGACTCTGCCTCTAAAAAACAAATAAGTAGGAGTACACTCTAAGATAACAATTAAAAGTGTAGTATATTAGAGAAAAAGAAAAAGTATAGTAAATACACAAACCTGTAACGTAGTCGTTTATTATCATCATGTATTAATCACTATACATAATTTATGTACTATTGTATGACTGGCAGTACAGTAAGTTTGTTTACACCAGCATCACCATGATCACATAAGAAATTTGATTTCTATGATGTCA